TTCCTGTTTTTCATTGAAGTAGCTACATAAATTCAAAAATGGCATTTATGATGTAGTATGTCAATACCATCCATTAACACAGTAGTCTTTGTGCCCTGTAACATAGTGGTATTACCCATTGATCTTGCCATTAAGTCTGTTATTTTTCAACTTCCTTTAATAGACTAACCTGTCCAGATAAAGTGACAATTAAAGGGTTGGGACAAACCATTTACCGCTGACAGGGGTGCGTACAATGATCAGCTTTTATTTATACAGGTAAACCTTTATCCCAAAAGAACAAAACTATTGCTGTAACTGCCTGTTTGCCATAGTTTGGCTTGTATTTGTTGGTCACATATGTAAATAGCCATTTGAATCTACTAATCCATCTAACAGTATTGTCTCCACAGGCTGACAATGCTGCTGTCCAAGAGTAGACCCTGCACCTCCAAAGATAAAAGTAGGGTTCTGAGCATAGCCACACTAAGACAGGAAGTATTTTACTGGCCAGACCACTAGGTGACAGTAACTAAGAAAAAAAGCATTTAAAAAGGAAACGAATGCAGCCACCTCATCTAAGGACTGGTAAGCTGCAGTATGTTACTTTTTTTTTTTTTTTTTTGGGGGGGTGTTAAATACACTTTAATGCTGCTCTATTAGTTTTTTGAACGGTTGTGTAACCTATACTATACAGTTGTATAAATTATACTACACAGTCATTTTATGCTTTAGGAAGTATGCTTTTTTTTTAGTTATTACCAAAGCATAAGGGTGGCATTGTACAGTAACAGTAGGGAGGCTTGCTAAAGGAACATTAACATGATACTAAAGCTAGTAATAATGCAAGGAATGCATTAAGGTAAAAAACATTTTATATATCTATGTTCTCTCACTTCCCTGTGTGAAGGAAAAGAGAGAGGAGAAGAGATCCAGCGCTGTGCACGGCTGCAGCTCTTCTGTGCTCGCTTCCTCTTCACTCCTGCTGCTGTCAATGTAATTCAGTGAGGAAGAAGTGGGAGGCGGGACTAAATCCTGCTGTGTGTGTCTATGACAGCTCAGGAGTGAGCAGATACCATGTTTCCCTATAGCAAACGGCTTGCTGTGGGGACACACAAAGAAGTGGAGGAGTCAGGATCACCGGAGGGGGACCCAAGAAGAGGAGGATTGGGGCCGCTCTATGCAATACCATTGCACAGAGCAGGTGAGTTTAATATGTTTATTTTAATTCAGAAAACCAGACTTTAGTAACACTTTGAGGACCATCATTTTAATTTGTATTTATCAAGCAAACCGTGAGCTAGAGACTCCATTGAATCCTTGCGTACTTATTTTTGGATATGCACTTCCTTGAACAGCTCTGTATCTTCTCAGTGGGAGAATTGTCACAAAAGTAAAGTGGCTTTTATGCAAAGTCTCTTTTTGTCCTTGCCATTTTCAGATACATGCCATCAGGACCCACTGGTCTATTTATTTAGAAATCCCGCTAGCTACTCATGCAGTAATTGCTATCTTTAAGCCTCCACTGCATGTTCACTGTCATTTCATACTCACCTCTAAGTGAATGTACCCCTACGGTGAGGTCCGTCATGGGAAATTGCTTTTTCTGATTTTTTTGTTTCCATTTTTAAAAAGCTTTAAGACACAGATATAAATTCTAACTTTTTTTAAATGGATGTATTTTAAAAGACTGTAAATATTTTGCTTCTGAAAATTGTTTCTTTGAAAGCAGAGCAAGATATGGTGCAATACTGTACTAATTTTGTGTCTCACCACTGCTCAAAAAAATTAAAAGAACACTTTTTAATTTGAGTATAGCATCAAGTCAATTAAACTCCTGTGAGATTGATCTGCTCAGTTAAGTAGCAGAGGGGGTTGTTAATCAGTTTCATCTGCTTTGGTGTTAATGAAATTAACAACAGGTACACTAGATGGGCAACCATAAGACGACCCTCAAAACAGTAATAGTTTACAGGTGGAGGCCAATGACATTTTTTTCCTTACTCAACTTTTCTGATTGTTTTTCACTAGTTTTACATTTGGCTAGGGTCAGTGTCACTACTAGTAGCATAAAGCGATACCTGGAATCTACAGAGGTTGCACAGGCAGTCCAACTCTTCCAGGATGGCATATCAATATGTGCCATTGCCAGAAGGTTTGCTGTGTCTCCCAGCACAGTCTCAAGAGCATTGAGGAGATTCCATCAGACAGGTAGTCACTCTAGGAGAGCTGGACAGGGCCATAGAAGGTCCTTAACCCATCAGCAGGACCGGTATCTGCTCCTTTGTGCAAGGAGGAACAGGATGAGCACTGTCAGAGCCCTACAAAATGACCTCCGACTGGCCACTGGTGTGAATCTCTGACCAAACAATCAGAAACAGACTTCATGAGGGTGGCCTGAGGGCCCGATGTCCTCTATGCTCATTGCCTGGCACCATAGAGCTCGATTGGCATTTGCCATTGAACACCAGAATTGGCAGGTCCACCACTGGCACCCTGCACTTTTCACAGATGAGAGCAGGTTCACCCTGAGCACGTGACAGACGTGAAAGGGTCTGGAGAAGCCATGGAGAACGTTATGCTGCCTGTAACATCGTTCAGCATAACTGTTTTGGTGGTGGGCCAGTGATGGTCTGGGGAGGCATATCCATGGAGGGACGCACAGACCTCTACAGGCTAGACAATGGCACCCTGACTGCCATTAGGTATTTGGATGAAATCCTTGGACCCATTGTCAGACCCAACGCTGATGCAGTGGGTCCTGGGTTCCTCCTGGTGCATGACAATGGCGACCTCATGTGGCGAAAGTATGCAGGCAGTTCCTAGAGAATGAAGGAATTTATACCATTGAATGGCCCCCATACTCGCCTGACCTAAATCCAATAGAACACCTCTGGGATATCCTGTTTCGGTCCATCCTACGCTGTCATGTTGCACCTCAGACTGTCCAGGAGCTCAGTGATGCCTGGTCCAGATCTGGGAGGAAATACCCCAGGACACCATCCATCATCTCATTAGGAGCATGCACGTTGTCAGGCATGCATACAAGCACGTGGGGGCCATACAAACTACTGAGTACCATTTTGAGTTTCTGCAATGAAATTTCAGCAAAATGGACTAGCCTGCTGCATCATTTTTTCACTTTGATTTTCAGGGTGTCTTTGAATTCAGTCCTCTGTAGGTTGATCATTTTAATTTTCATCAAACGATGGGGCATCCTTACGTTCCTAACACATTTGCCCAGTCCATATCAGTATAGATATCCAGCATGATATTTTTCCCCATTGAGATCTGATGTGTTTTTCAAATCATTCCTTTAATTTTTTGGAGCAGTGTACATTATAGCAAAACCTTATTTGCTTATTCAGGACAAAGCAACAGGTTTGTTTTTATTGTGTTCATATGCTGCAGTATGTACCTTTCCTTTGCTCCCTTGCTCCATTTGGCAAAAACAGCATGGCCATGCAGGACTATGCCCACACTGGCGTGCCATTCATTCACAGTTTCCTTTGAATGGATAGACTATATGTGCAGTCATCCACCGCGGCTGATGGCTTGTAGTGCTGAATAAACTGTGAGGGCGCTGATGGGTATTCCTCTAGTTCATTCACAAGCCCTGCAGCTTTGTAACGGACAGCTGTGTGCGAGGCTTGTCTGCAGAAACCTTACATTGTACCCCAGATTTACTGATCATTTGTGCAATGCTTTCCAGGCTCCTGCAGGAAAAAATGATAAATGCACCTTTTTGTTTCTACAAAAATAAGTGCATTTATTATTTTTTTCTTAAAAGTTGAATGTATCCTCTAACAGGGCCTTGCCGCCTTTTTTGATATCTCAATGGAGTGCCCTGGGAGTGAAAAGACGATAAGTGTTTGCATCTGTGGAGGTCTGCATTAACCTCCCTAACGGTATTCCCGAGTGTAGCTCGGGGTAAAATGTCTATACCAAAAGCGGTAACCCCGAGCTACACTCGGGCTTACCATGCAGCGCTATATAGGGAGTCCCTGCAGCACTTACCTTGTCCTTGGCTCCCGTGATGTGTCCCCTCCAGCGTCCCCGGCCATCTCCTCCGTCTGATGCCGGCATCCGGCTCCTGTGTTCCGGTCCCCGTGACGTTGGGACGTACGGGCGGCGGGGAAATTTGAAAATTTAAGTCATTTTTTTCAAAACGATTCTACATAGTAAAACATTGCTGTTTCAACCCATTTCACATACATTTTGTCCCTAGTGCTTTGTCCTGTCCCCTGTCTGCATTTTGATTGTTCTTTGTGCCTGGAAACGTAGAAAAGTCCATGGCGTCCAAAAAGTGTCCCTTTAGGTCAAAAGCGGGTTTAGATCAGCTAGAGAACAGCGATAGTAAATCAGGACCACTTGTAGAATTGAGTGATAATGATTCGTGGGGAAATTCGTCATCAGACACTGAAAACAATTTTGCGACTTTGCTCAGTGATGTGCGAACTTGGCGCTATATTTCAAATTTCAGTGTTTTTTTGGTTTGATTATATTATTGAATTAAATGTATGATTTAGAATCTTGTTCAGACAGATTTCAGTGAGTTATTCCTAAAAATTACAGCCTACAATAAAAAAACTACATATTTCCATGCAAAATAATGGTACCGCTTTCAGCACCAAAAATCGGAAAGAATCATACCGCCAGGGAGGTTAAAGTCAATATCTTGCTTTGCCATAAATAGGCAAAGCACAAATTCTCATTAAAGACAAAGCCTTCCTTAACCACTAGCCTACAGGGCACTTATACCCCCTTCCTGCCCAGGCCAATTTCCAGTTTTCGGCGAGGTCACACTTTGAATGACAATTGCACGGTCATGCAACATTGTACCCATATGCAATTTTTATCATTTTTTTTTGAGACAGGGCTTTCTTTTGGTGGTATTTAATCACCTCTGGGATTTTTATTTTTTCTTAAACAAACCAAAAACCACTGAAAATTTTGAAAATTTTCTTAGTTTTTGTTATACAATTTTGTAAGTAAGTGATTTTCTCCTTCACTGATGTGTGCTAATGAGGCTGCAGTGATGGGCACTGATAGGTGGCACTGATGGGCACTTATGAGGAGGCACTAGTAGGTTGCACTGATGGGCATTGACAGGCATCACTGATGGGCACTGAAAGGCAGCACTGACTGGCACTGATAGGCGACACTGGCACTGATAGGCGGCACTGATAGGCGGCACTGATTGGCATTGATAGGTGGCACTGATTGGCATTGACTGGGCACTGGCACTGATGGGTGACATTGAAAGGCAGCTCAGATGGGCACTGATATGTGGCATTGATGTGCACTGGTATGCACTGATATGTAGCACTGATGGGCACTGGCACGTGGCACTGATGGGTACTGGCACTGATGAGCACTGACAGGTGGCACTTTGGGGCCACACTGATCATCAGTGCACTGATGATCAGTGTACATATTCCCTCTGCGGAAAGCCGATTACCGGCTCTCCTCTTGAGCTGTCAGCGTGACAGCTCGAGAGGAGAGAAATGCCGATAACTGGCATTTCCATGTTTACATGTGATCAGATGTGATTGGACACAGCTGATCACATGACCAAGCCGACATCTTCAGCTCTTTCCACGGACACAGCGGACCGGCGATTGCCACGCTGCGCGCTCCCTGAGCCGCGCATGCGCAGTGAGAATGGTAGGACGTCATATGACGTCCTTTCAGAACGAGAGAACCACCTTGCGCCCGTCATTGTACTATAGGGCGGGCGGAAGGTGGTTAAACAGGTTTTTTAGCGACATAGTTGACATGGGTTAATGTCTTAGACTGTGCAATCTCTGCATTAGTCCCCAGCTCTATATCTATCTGCTGCTAGAAGCCTACCGTGCGCTTAATGTCATTTTTGTCAGTTTTGCAGAAAAAGACTGCTTCACGTGGCTTTGTAATTTCTGTAGAATGGTAGTAGAGGCAGGATGGTTTGGCAAGGACATCTTGCGACTGTAGTCTTTTTTTTTTTTTTTTTTTTTTTTTTTTTTTTTTACATAAGACAGCAAGGGATAACAGTGTTTGTAACTGCTGACTTTTTGGGGGGAGACTGGAGTTTCACATTAGCTCATTAGTATTCCAAAAAATTAAAGCTTGGTTTTGGGAGGTCTCTAATAAGAATATAACTTGACCATACTAAGGCAAGCCAGAGATGATGATGTGATTTTCTTTCCTGCAACCATGGGTCAGTGTTGATGGGGAAATCCCTCCCATAGCACTATTGTGTCCTGCTGGCCTGGAGCCTTCCCAGCCGTCGGATCAAAATGTTCATTGGGTCATGATTGCATGCAAAAAATCCAACAGACTTTATACCCATTAAAAATTGTTTGCCATTGAAAATAAATAATGCACAGCATGGTGGTTGAATGATTAACACTGTTATACATTACTGGTGTCGTGTTTGATTCCAATTTGGGGCACTATATGCATGAAGTGTATGTGCCATTCCTGTGCCTGCAGTGGTGGCGCCAGTCTGACCCTAACAGATCGATATTCTGTAGAGCAGTAATTCAGATGTAAAACAAACATCCTTCATACCATTCAGTTCCCTGAGTGTTCTGGGCCAGCATGAGGTAGGAGGAAATTTGTGAGTGCCTGCTTTATTTCCCTATGCCTTAGTTAGTCATGCTACATCTGTTCTATAGCCCCACTGCCTTCCTTTGCCATGGATTTGGACCAACCAGGAGCAAAGACGGGTACCCAGTGCAGCTTCCCAGCAACTTATGGTTTGGGAGACTCAATTGGGAGATTCAGTTCACATGTGAGAACAGTGACAGCTCAGCCACGGCATGGGGAGTGTTGGGGGTTACCTGCAACTGCAGAAGGAGCTCAGTTAGTATCTCATATTGCACAGTGTCCTATTCCAGACTCCAGGCTGTAAGATTCTAAAACAGATCCAAAATCCTTTTTTGGGATAATACAGAAGATGATACGTAGGTTTATCTGGGTAAATAAAAAAACAAGAATTAGGCACGAGACACTGTGTAGGGCAAAAGGTAATGGGGATTTGGGGTTGCCAAATGTTAAGATTTATTATCAAGCGGTGATACTTTCATGAATAATAGATTGGGTATTTTATTCACATAGGAAAGGCTGGTGAATATGGAAGAGACGTTCGGAAAGATGATTTGGGTTCCACACAAGTTTCGCACATTAGATGGGAACACTAGTTTACTGACAAAGAAAGTTTTTAGTGTTTGGGATAGATTGTATAAACAAAAAGGATGGAAATATAGCTCGGGTATGACCCCCTTGGCAGGAACGGACTATTTTCCACCAGGGAAGGACAATATCTCTGGGAAAAGGATTAAAAATCAGAACATACGCTTAAAAGATATAGCGAGTAAAGGGCATTTGCACATTTTTTCTGATTTTAAAGGAAAGAAAAGATTTATTTTTTACTTTAGATGAGTGGCGGTATGGTGAACTTGCTCACTTTTGTTTCAACACTCCCAAAACCACTGAGGATGTTGGAGGATCAGTACCCATTTGAGAAACTGATGAATGTAACTATAACCCCGAAACAGGGCACCTCTCAGATATATAAGATCCTTATGGATGTAGAAGGTAATGATTCCCCCTAGTTCTTGGAAAAATGGGAGCGGGAGTTGGGATCAAAGTTGAACGCACAACAGAGGAACAATTTATATAAATTAGTACACGAGGTAGCAAACATGAGTATGGTGGAAATGAACTACAAATGTCTGGCTAGATGGTATATCACACCACGTAAAGCACATAAAAAACAAGTAGAGGTTTCACCTTTATTTTGTAGAGGTTGTGGGGGAAAGGGCACGATGGCACATATATGGTGGGATTGCCCGAAGATACAAGAATACTGGAAGGAAGTATTACAATATATTCAGGAAATATGTGAGATCATTATACAGAGAGATTCATGGATCTGTTTATTTTATAAATTTGAATCTTTGATAATTCTACACAACAATAAGATACTATACCATCTAGTTAGTACGGCTAAGGGCCTGATTCCCAAATTTGGCTTGCCCCTGATCCACCAAGTATGAATGACTTGGTAAATCGAGTACATAACATTTATAGGATGGAGGAGTTGTGTCATATTGAACAGGATAAAATGGAAAAATTTAGGAAAACATGGAGCAAGTGGTTGGCCTTTTAAAACAACTAAAAGATATCTGAAACTGCTTGGAACATAAGAAAATGGGTACTGGGGGGAGCTTTCAAGGATTGCCCACAGAGAAAAAGGGATAGGAGGAAGGAAATACAGATCTAGACTGATAACGATGATGAGGATGGGGAAGTGATGTGGTTTTGGGGAACTAGGGGGGGAGAGGGGAGGAATGAGGGGGGGTAGAGAAAAATATGATATGAGGTAATTTGGATACACGGAAGAAGCTTGTATTTTTGGTTCCTTTCTTTTCTCAGATTTATGTGTATTTAATGCTCTTTTTTTTGTAAGGAAAAAAAATCTAAGAAAAGATAATAAAAACGATCCAAATATATAATTGAGGTGGAAAGGAAAATACTTTGTTAAAACTGACAATGCCACGTAGGACAAAAGTAATTCCAGAGTCTCATGGGCCTGTACAGAACATCTGCTCAACACTGGCCTTTTACAAAGTAGTTAATTTTTTCACCCCAGCTATATAGTTAGTTCTGTTTTCAGATGCTTAGAAACCTTCAATCTGACTTACAGGAAAGGGGGATTGATGCCCATACTGAGGAAAACTGCAAAATGTGCAACTTCCACTTTTGTACTATATGTTTTATCACTGAAACACCTTCAGGTTGTCAGTACAGTACCGACTGTGTCATTGGACCGGTTTCTGCTTCTGTCAGTACAGTACTAAAAGTGTCTCTGTGCTTATGTCAGTGTGGAACTAATTGTGTTGAAATACCTTTTTAGGCCTAGTTCACACCGGTAGTAATAACAGGTTCGGCTGCCTTTTTACTGCATCCCTGACTACTTGCCTCCAAAGAAACATGGTGGCTGCTTAGGTCAGTACACACTACTGCATCTGTAATGCCTCACATCAAGGTGTAGCAATTTTAAATTCACCAAGTTTGGCAAGTGGTCCTTTTTTCTGTGGATGTGTCTGGCTGTGTCAGTAAAGTTCTAATTGCATCTCTGTGGGCATGTTTCTGCTTGTGATTCTGTTTATTTGGTTATAATATTGTAAGTGCTGCAAAGTACGTTTTGATTTTGCATGCTGTGTGCTGATGGGTTGGAGGGTGTTTAGGGGTGCTCAAATGCCCCCTTTCTCATCCCCACATTTGAACTTAGCTAGGCAAGAAAAGTAAAAAAAAAAAAAAACAAAATCCTACAAGCTTTAACCAGTGCTCTGCTGGACACTGTGCAGAAAAACATGCTTGTTATACTCTTGGTGGAACCTAAGGGGTTAATCTTCCACATTGTGTAGAAAGGATGTTTGACCCTGTCTTCTCTGATCCTCCTCTTCTACTGTCCTCAATCCACCTGCTGATTAAGCATGTGCAGCTTGCCCCCAAGGTTCTGTTCTGTTTGGTGTGTATATTGCTAGATTTTTTTTTTCTTGGGAGAGTTCATTTGATCAGCACAGGGTCAATCAGCACTGTCCAGATAGAGGGTCAGGGGTCCTGCAGCCTCATAGGACAATCAGAGGAGAATGAAAACTCCACATACAAGCTTTAACCAGTGCCCTGCTGAACACTGATAGAAGCCACAAGACTGCTCTAACTGCTGAAGAAAAAAAGTATTTAGCAGTTTATATTTACTAAAATAATTGCATTTCCATGTTCTGTGTAGTGTGGGAGACTAGTTAGAGTGAATGCAGGGTCCTGGGTTTAATAACACTTTAACGCAAATGTCTGTGTTGTCCCAGGCTTACTATGAGAGTGCTGGCCTAGAAACCCCTGATGTGCCCAGTAACTCTGAAAGAATTTATGTTCTTAGAAAAGACTAATGAGCTAGAAATAATTAATGCCACCTTAAATACAATTCCATGTATGTCTGTGAAATGTGCCTATCATCATATTATAATGCCAAATAAAGAAAAAAGATTCTATAGGCAGTTACAGACTAAAAGGCTCTGTATTTGGGTTTGGTCTATTTCTGTAATAGTTTAAGGAATACAAATATTCCAAATGAAGAAGCAAAATATAATAAACCATATTGCACTAAATTATACCTAACAAGATAGATAATTGCTGCAGCATTTTATCACAAATTATACATAAAATCTAAAACTGCAGCTAGCTTGTAAACCTGTCATCTAAAGTGTTTTACAGTTACTGGCATCTCAAGCTGTTTGACAGTGGAAAGTGCAAGTGGAAAAAAAGCTTTTACAGGAGCCATTACGTTTAAGAGGTTTCCACC